CACAGACAGCCTCTCGACAATATGCGTTTTTGCTGGCTGTAGCAGCGCTGTAGCGCTACTATAGCGTTGCACAGCAAAAACGCATAAAAACGAATCTTCGCACCGACAGTCGGTGCGCTGGCCAATTATTTTAGTAGTGAAATGCCAAAACGTGCGACCAATAGTAGCTGAAATCTAGATAAATCTCCACGTTTCTGCCGCCCGAAGATACTTTAGCTGGTTTCCACAGGCCGCCCAGACTGGATTTTCGAATTAGCACTACTACATATGCACCCACTTGTCCCTACTGTACCTTTTACCGTACAACGCAGAGCTCTGTGACTGCGCTTATACCTTTCTTATCAGAAAGACCGCCGCGGGAGAAGATTACTCACTCCTAAGACCAAGCTTCTGCCACCTTAGATCTCACATCGTTTTCTAATGTACCACCAAAAGTTTTCAAACTCAACTTCTTAGGGCCGCCCAAGGCTCACGTACGGACACGTAAAAATTTTTGGCGCGAAAATTACTAACCTGTGACGGGAAATGCGAGAAAGCTGAAACTTTATGGCAATGTTTCCTAACCATGAACGAGCAAAATCAGGTGTTTAGAAGCGCCCGGGCCAGTACGAACGCGTGGAAATTTTGGCGTGAAAATTACTAGCCTGGGGACGGGAAAAGCTGAAAAGTTGAAACTTTACGGGAATGTTTCCTACTCATTTACAACCAAAATCAATAGTTTAAAGGCGCCCGAGACCCAATTGCTACATGTGAAAATTTTGGCGCGGAAGTTACTAATCTGGGAACGGGGAGAGCTGGAAAGCTGGAACTTTAGGACAATGTTCCCTACTCATGTATAACCAAAAGATTTCAAATTCAGCCCCTTAAAACTGTTCGGTACTCACGTACGGAAATGTAAAAATTTTGATGGGAAAACTGATAACTCAGGAACGGGAAAAGCTGAAGGCTTTAATTTTAAGGGGACTCATGTGCGACTAAAAATTTCAAATTTAACTCATTTATTGCAGCCTTTTTCGTGGACCAGCAACTTTCCAGTTGTCAGGTCACTGAAGTCGACATCTACAACTGACACACCACATAGCTGCAGAATTAACTTCCCGAACTTCGAGGGCCAGTACGTCACAGGGTTAGCTACTGTGATTCATTGCGATCTTTCTACGGCACGAAAAGTGCAAAAACGCATAATAACAACGGCCCACCTGGTGCGTTCCAGCCTGAGTTTTTTTTATGCAGCAGTGCGGTTCGGCACAAGCCGCCGCAAATATTAAAGCGAATCGAACCCGAAACAAGTAAATCGAACCCGGTATTTCCATACTTTAATTGTACCACGCAGCAGCTTTGGCTCACATTCTGCATGATGCATCAGGCTCTGCAGCATAGAAAGCTGGACCTCAGAACTCGTGCTACTTGGGTGGGGGGAGGGGAGGAAATTTGCCAAACTGAATTTAGACCAGCATGAATGTAGAACATCAATGTAAAATTCCAGCATCGTCAAAATTACAAGTTCTCTAGAAGTATCTTTGACGTGCCCTATGGTATGGCTCAAGTGTAACAAAATCCATTCAGGTATTTGATTTCCCAAATGGACAATAAATATTTGCAGCAGTTATTTTCCGGAAAGTTTCCAAGTTGGCATGGTACTAGCTGTAACTGCACGCGTGATGCAAGCATGCACGACAACTGAATTTGAAATTTTCAACTCATTCACAGACGGACAATGTTTCTACAGTGTTCCAGCCCCTTACGCCCAACGGTTTCCAAATCTATCTCCCACCAAAAAATTTACATGTTTTTTCAGGCTTTCGTACGTGAGACCTAAATATGCATGGTAGAAGAGTGACACATATCGTGGGAGCATGCTCCTACAATTTCACCCTCCTTGCTTCCCTGCTTACTGAGTTGAAAGTGGATGACAAAGTTCACTCGCCTTCAAACACAGAAACATATGAACTTCTAGACAATATACGTTTTTGTATCTGCATAGGATGCAAAAACGCATAAAAACGCGAATTCGCAAAGGCAAATTTTAGGAGATCTATGAAGTCTCCGTGGGCAATCATCTTGTAAGACCGACCCTTTTGCTCACACTAGTCCTGGCTGCAAATATCGCAATGTGGGCATTTTCTCTAGATGCGATATTTGTACGAAATATTGGCTCTGACTGCAAGTTCTCGTAAAAAGTCTTCGCTCACTTCCCTCTCATCCCTAATCGAACAACACATGAGGACGAAGGAAAAGATTACCTCACCCTATATTGCTGATCTAAAAACTTTTCTAATTTCGACTTGTTTACAGTGTATTCTTACACGAAGAGGAATTTGTTCACCACTGTTTCACAAACTGAAGAACCGATTTTTCCAAAATAAAAAGAATACGAAGGCAATGCGCAGTCAATCTCAGCGTTTATGGTGGCGCATTTGGCATCGACTTCAAATCGTCCATTTCTAGTAATCGGAGAAAAATATCGCCCAGATAAAGAATGATTCGACAACTACACACACTCGCTGATATGCACAACCCACGATGTGTACATATGTGCGCGTGAATGCGTGACGGGAAGATAACGGGAAAATGCGGATGGAGAACGAAGAAGAAAACGGATTAAAACCATTGATAAAGTCGTGTCAAGACTATAAAAGTCTGTTCATTTTTGAGGCCAAACAGAGGCCACGCGAGTGGTGAACAGGCGAGGGTGCAAGCTTGAATTGCTTGAAAGAAGTCTCTTATCAGAGCTTGTAAGCAAGAAAGTATCTTGCAACCTACCTGGGTTCCAGTGCAGCGTTGGAGCTGAAAGACAAATACACGAAATACAATGTGTGCACACTGATATTTCCAGAGGAAAAAAAGGAGGCTCAGAAGAGCAGCTCTTTTCAAAACACCAGGAAGCAGTGCACTTGAGAGGGGTGTGGGAACTCGGCTGTGCTCAGCTTCCCAACTTAGGCATGCACAAATGCTCACTCAGTGTCGGTGATATTTTCGTGGACG